TAATCAGCATGCACGAGGCACCAACCAGTTAGAATAGACGAATGCTGTGGCATTGAGCAGTGTCCCAGGGGACCAGTAAACCTTTAGTTCTGGATCAAGGGTAAATACAAGGAAGCAGAACATATGGAAAGGCAGGGAATAGAGGACACTTTGGGGCTTGAGACAGTAGCAATTTATCAATCAGAGTCCTAATTGATCTATAACAGCTAAGTATCAGCCTAGGTACAAGGACGGACGATTCTGACCTAGCCCCTATATTTATAAGGCCTCTAGCCTAAAGCCATCCTATACGACAATACAGCAGCAGGTTACTAGCCACATGTTCTTAAATTTAAATTAATGAACTCTCCCAACACAAAGAAATGATAAATATTTGAGATGATGGATATGCTAACTACCCTGATCTGATTACTATGCAGTATATGCATAAAAACATCACTATGTATCCGATGAATATGTGCAATTATTATTTGTCAATTAAAAATAAAGTAACACAGCCAGACATGATGGCTCACACCTGTAATCCCAGCACTTTGGGAGGCCGAGGCAGGTAGATCACCTGAGGTCAGGAGTTTGAGACCAGCCTGACTAACATGGTGAAAACCTGTGTCTACTAAAAATATAAAAATTAGCCAGTTGTGGGGGTATGTGCCTGTAATCCCAGCTACTTGGGAGGCTGAGGCAGGAGAATTGCTTGAACCTGGAAGGCAGAGGTTGTAGTGAGCCGAGATTGTGCCACTGCACTCCAGCCTGGGCAACAGAGTGAGACTCTGTCTAATAATAATAATAATGGTAGTAGCAGTAAAAGTAATAGAAAAAATTTTTAAATAGTGTTTTTAAAAAACCACTTAGTTTTCAGGTGCAATAATCACATTTCAAGTGTTCAATTGCTCCATCTGGCTGGTAGTTACCATATTGAACGGCACAGACAAAGAGTATTCTGAATCTATTCTCTTAGCAGGGTGAACTATGTAAGGTGAATAAGTATGTAAAGTAGCTTCATTGTGGTAATCATTTCACAAGGTATACGCATATTAACGTATCTCATATACACCTTAAATATATACAATTAAAAAAACGTTTCATTTTTAACAATTTTGAAGGTATAGGTGGTTTTGGTTACATGGATAAGTCCTTTCCTGGTGATTTCTGAAATTTTGGCTCACCCATCACCCAAGCAGTGTACACTGTGCCCAATACTTACAAAACCTCCCAATTTTCAGGAAATGCTGAAGACTGAACTTCAAAGACATGAAAACATAGATGTGGTATGTAGGGAATCAGAGATGGAATTTCCTTTATTATGAGGAACAAAAGCTGCGGGTCTAATCTCCTGTGTGATACAAGCCTTAGCTGATCAGGGTTACACTGAGTCATTCTGATGTAGCTAACAGAGAATCTACCATCTTTTTAGTACTTCCTGCCTCTCCCTTCTTCTTCTGCTCTCCTCCCAGCCTTCCCCTTCTGAGTCACCAAAGCCCATTATATTATTATTATACCTTTGAAATAGATGTAATTCTTATTTGTCCATTATACCTCAATAAGACTTGGAGAAAGAAAAATATTCCTATAATCACACAAATGGGGTACTGGATAGCACTAGACCAAAGAAAAAGACAAACATAAAATTAAGGTTTGCACAGTTAATTAATTAATTAATTATAAATGTGATGCAGCATGCCATGAGATTTTTAACCTGACAGAAAAATAGAGGCCAAGGAGACCTTCACTTGGAAGCTAAATTTCCAAGTTGCAGAAAATCACGCTGAGGTTTAAGTTCCACCACTGACCCTGGTACTATGATATTTGTGTGGCTTTCCCTTTAGCATATAGATGACAACAAAGGGGTATGAATGCCTAGAAAACAGATGCTGGTTTCTGGGAGCTTACTCTCTACATCATGTGCATGGACCAATCTGTTATTCTATCTAAACCTGTCAAAACAGAAGTGAAAGCTTGGAAGAAGAATATTAACGGAATAAAAATCAAGCATGGGAAAGACCCATACTGGTGTCTTGTCTAATGTCAAAGCTATCTTTCTCCCACTTACACAATACTCCATCAGGAGTTAGGATGCATTTATCTACCTATTTGTCTTTCTATTCTTCTACCTGTTTGACCATCATTATATTCAACAAGTACTTCTGGTCTACTAGCACCACAGTAAATGCTGTGGATATAATCAGACGTGATATAGTATTGAACAATCAGCAATCCAAAGGGTCCTGAGGCCAAGGAAACATTCCGGGAAAAAATTAAAACAAGAATAACCAAACTTTGGAAGCAGGAAATGAAAATTGATTGTCTGAAGCCAATAGATACATCAAAACCCTGATTCGGACTAAAATACGGCATTCTTCACAACATCAGTCCAAGCCTCATGTCAGCCATGAACAAATTCCAACTGCTAATTCATTACTTCTGCTAAAATCCTGTGAGAAGCTGGAGCAATTTCTCAACCAGCATGTATGCAACATGTTATAGGTAAAGAACACACAAAACCCAGGCATGTGGCCAGCTTAGATACCAAATCATCTGCCTTCCTGATAACCAAGTGGCCTCCCAGAACATAATCTTTGCTCCAGGGAAAGTGGCCTCTTGGTTTCGGAAGTGGACTGAGGTTCTCTGTACCAGAGAAGCTGCAATCAATCCCAAGGGCAAGCTGGAAATCTACTAGATACACTGAGATGGGTCAGTGCCCATAAACCTCCCAGTCAGGCATCTTGCCATTTCTTCCTTTCTTTTCTTTCTTTTTTTAAAATGAATTTATTTCTTACACTTCTGGAGGCTTAGAAGTCCAAGGTAAAGGAGGCATGTCTGGTGAGGGCCTTCCTGCTAGGAGGGACTCCGGGAAGTTCAGGTGAGGCAGTACAGGACACTGCATGGAAAGGGTACATCTTAGCTTAGGTCTTTAGGTCTCTCCTTCTCTTCTTTTTTTTTTTTTTTTTTTTNGATGGAGTCTTGCACTGTTGTCCAGGCTGGAGTGCAGTGGTGCTGTCTCGGCTCACTGCAACGTCCACCTCCCAGGTTCAAGTGATCCTCCTGCCTCAGCCTCCCAACTAGCTGGGATTACAGGTGCCTGCCACCACGCCTAGCTAATTTATTTGTATTTTTAGTAGAGACGGGGTTTCACTATGTTGGCCAGGATGGTCTCAAATTCCTGACCTCATGATCCACCCTTCTCAGCCTCCCAAAGTGCTGGGATTACCGGCATGAGCCACTGTGCCCAGCTCCTATTCCTTTCTAAAATGATTTTTTAAAAATGATCACATGTACTCACTGGTGTAGAGCAGTCAATTAATACATTTTACGTCTCTCTTTAGACAGCAGTTGTAGATACAGAAATACCATATCCATAGACAAATTAACATGAGCTCCCTTACATCCCTGTACTAATTATCTTAGGGGCCACAGCCTCCCTTAGGTTAGAAGTTTCAGTCCCCGTGCAGGGTTGGAACAGGAATTTCTTTCAGAGAAGCAGCAATGTGAATCATGTTCAGCAGGCAGAGGAATGGGAAGGTCATATATGATCTGAAAACTCATCCTTGAAGCCTTTTGTCCTCCGTCCCTCCCCTCCCTGCCCCAGCACCAACAAAGGCATCTAGGAGAAGAGAAAGAGGCTGCTTGAAACAGAAAAAGATAAAGTAACAAGCATATTTAACTTTACACCAAATAGATCTGAACAGACTTTATGCCAAACAGGCCCCTCCTTTTTACCTACAAAACCTCCCAGTTTTCAAGAAATGCTGAAGCCTGAACTTCAAAGACATGAAAAGATAGATGTGGCATGTAGGGAATTAGAGATGGAATTTCCTTTATTACCAGGAACAAAAGATACAAGTCTAATCTCCTGTGTGATACAAGCGTTACCTGATCAGGGTTACACTAAGTCATTCTGATGTAGCTAACAGCGAATACACCATCCTTTTACTTCTTTGTAACCCCGCCTTCTTCTTCTCTGTATTTGAATATGCAAATTCTAAGGCGATAGAAAGAGCCCTGCAATCCCACTGAAGGCAAAAGAATTCCCTTTGATCAGCCTCTCCCAGGCCTGGAGTCCTATGGCCACCAATTCTACCTGCTCCTTTATGACAAGGGCTGATAATTGATGTATCAAATTATATTCCAGCACTTTCAGAAGCAGAACCTGATAAGAAATTCTGTATTCCTATGAAGGAAGCTACATCTTGAAAAAGAAATATTTCTTTCAGTTTGCCTTTTAAAATGTTGATATTTATTATTAAACTATTACAGATTTATTCCTACAGCAAGGTGTTTACCCACAAAACTATTGCAGAGGAAGGCTGGTATCAGAGACTTTGTGAAGGTGATACCCCAAATGCTAGTGCATATATGTATTACAAAGAAAAACAGCGGACAAAATATTGCTAGCTTCACCAGAAATAAGGTCCTTGCATGCAATAAGAAAGGCAGAAAGCAGAAAAGTGCTTACTTGCTGAAAACAAATGAAATTTCTAAAATGTACCCCAGCATCTTAAAGTATGAAATTTTTTGTGCAGTAATTTCTGTATCACAGTCACATATTCCAGCTCAAAAAGAGCGAACGAATTGTTCCTAAATGCCTCAAGAAATACATGCTCTCAGTAACTGATCTGTGTTTGCTGGTATTTCTTTCTACTTTGCAGGGTCATGTGGCTCAGAAGGGGGACAGAATGTCTCCGGAGGAGAAAACCTTAGAGGGAAAAAAAAGAAACCAAAACCACATTTTATTTGAATCCCCAGCTAATAAAAGCGCAGTTAACCAGTTGATAATCTCACACGTTTCCCAGGTTCGTTGGGGAGGGAGGGCTTACAGAGGGTGGTTTTACTTTGCCAGCCCTCTTCTCATCTCTGGTACAATAGTGCAGAAGAGAAAGACACAAGCAGGCAGCAAAGTTTTTGTAACAGCTTCAAATCTTCACAAAAGAGCTTTTCATAGAGAACAAGATCAAAAAATGGATATATTTAGGGAATGAATGTTCTAAATGGGTTGCACTTACTGAATGCTGAGTCTGATCAAGGAAACTGTAAGTTCCACTTGCATGAGTTCTTCGAGCAGTTTCCTGAAGAAGAAAATGGGGAGAGATTTTAGTATCGAGGAATGTATTCTTGAATTCTGTCTACAAGTTTTTGGTTAGAGTAATATTGAACAACCTCCAAAATACGTTCTGACTCTACTGTGAATTTAACAGCAATGATGCAATGACGGCGATGATGATGATGAAAATGAGACCAGGTGCAGTGGCTCATGCCTGTAATTCCAGCACTTTGGAAGTCCGAGGCAGGTGGATCATGAGGTCAGGAGATCAAGACCATCTTGGCCAAGATGGTGAGACCCCATCTCTACCAAAAATACAAAAATATTAGTGGGGCATGGTGCTGCATGCCTGTAGTCCCAGCTACTTGGGAGGCTGAGGCAGGTGAATCACTTAAACCCAGGAGGGGGAGGTTGCAGTGAGCTGACACAGAGCCACTGACACAGAGCCACTGCACTCCAGCCAGCCTGGGCGACAGAGTGAGACTGCGTCTCAAAAAAGAAAAAGATTCAGTTCTTCAATATTTTCATTACATCCTCTCAGGTCCCAATAAAGAAGGTGTTATTATCTTCTCTATTTCAGAAGAGGAAACTGAGGCCCAGACAGCTCCCATAGTTCACAAGACATGCATGTACATCATGATGCCTGAATTTGAACTCGGACAATTACACAACAAGCTTGGAAGCACTCTACTGTATTCTCCTCTTACACCATGAGCTCTTGTCACTGGGGGTGTTCGAGGGAAGACTGGAAGTTGACATTTCAGACATATCATTGTGGATTTTCCTCCTGGGAATTAGTTTGGATAAAATAAATTCTAAATGTCCTTTCAACTGTAGAACTACAGGATTCTATAAATGCTCATTCAGGTGATGAATTTCAAAGATGGAAATGATTTCATTTTGCAATGAATAGAATTATAAGGTACTCCAGTAATAATAAATTTCAAAAATATGGCTAACATCACTCAATCAGAGGGAGTAAATTTCATGTTCATTGGTATTTAAATAAACCAAATATCACCTGAATTGCAAATGGCATTATAATCTCCTATAGTTCAGTGAGTTGGAAGAGAGGTCATCTCCCACCAGAAAAGTCCAGATTTCCTGGTAGATCTGAAAGACATTTATGGCATCCTGTACCTAAGGGGGTTGGGATACTGACTTGCATCCTTTCTAGGGAGAAACCTAAGTAGCAGAGATGGGACTGCTTTGTAGGGTTCTGGAATCCTGTGCTCACTGAATTACTCATATAAAGTAGCAATGCAATTTACACCAAGACTCAACACAGTTCACAAGATTCAGAGGTACATTTTAAACATTATTTGGAAATATATTTAGAAAATATACCCTCTTTCTTAATGTGATAAGTATATGTAGATACGTATATAGATATACATATATATGAAGACCACATATGTGTATGTATTTGTATATATATGTGTATCTAGTCTTCAAATCTAGTCTTCAAATTACAACATCTAAGAACATCAGGTGACTTCAAAATATTGGAAACAGGGGGGACCTGCAGAAAGACCCAAGAATAGATAGAGCTATTAAGTGGTTGAAAAGGTGGTGATAATATTTACCCTTCAATAGCCTTCTGATTTGCATTTTGATGCTTTCAATTTCTTTCAACTAATAAAAATGACCAATCTCATGGGTCAGTGTCAACAAAAGGCAATGATGCATTCATTCATCCATTCACCCATTTATCCATCTATCCACTTATTCACCCAACCACTTATCCATCCATCCATCCACCCATCCACCCATGTATCCATCCACCCACCCACCAATCCATCTATCCACCCACACAGCCACCCACCCACATATGTGTCCACCTGGCCTCCATCCATCTATCCATCCATCCACCCACCCATCCATCGATCTTTCTAGTCATCCTTGGCTTCACTACCTTGTAGCTTTGTGACCATGACCAAGTCACTCAACCTATCTTTGTCTCAGTTTCTTCATTTTTAAAATGGGAGTAAACAGTACCTTCCTCAAGGAATTCAGGTGAATGTTAAAAGTTAATATTTGTAAAACACTTAGCATTGTGCTTGGCACAAAGTCAGCACTTTAAAAAAGTTTGTAGTTTATTAAGCTTTTTTAATAGCAGGTACTGTCCCCTTGGTGCCTACAGTTCAGTGGGGAGTATAGACAGATCTTCACTGGGGACATTGAGGAAGCCTCCATGAAAGAAGCAGCAATGGAGAGACATCTTAAAGGTGAGAAGTGGAAGAACATGATCTGGGAAGAAAAGAACAGTTAGAATATAGTCAAAACACATGGTTCTTTTCTGTAAATTCAGTTTGCCTCAACTGGAGGATTAACTGAGTCCCAATAATTATAGTGGTTGTAGTTTTATTGAATCCATAGTATATCCCAAACTTCTTATCAAAATTTTTATGCATCCTCTCACTTATTGAAAATGATCACTGCCATGGTCAGGTTCAGCCTTTTCAGCCCCGACTCCCTCTTTCCCATCACTTCCTCCATCTCTGAACATGCTTGTACACGCTAAGATCCAGCTAAATCAAATACTTAAAAGACACAATGCACTGGTATTCCCTTAGCCCTTTTATTACAACGCTCTTTTATCATAAACTGCTCTTCACCTGGCCCCATTTGAACTCATGGAAGGTCTTGAGTCTTGAGACTTGAAGGTCTACTCAAGCATGCTCTTTGTAGCTTTCATTGATCCTTCTAGTGGGACTGAATTTTGGGAGAGGTCCCTATGGCTATTCACATATTCTTCTATCAGAAGCAGAATTATACATCCTTTCTAAGCTTTTGTGGACCTGGCCTACCCAGGCTGTGCATTCCTGGAAGGCAAGGGCAATGTTTAATTCAACACTGTAACTTTGTAGTCTAGGACAAGGCCCCTTAGGAGCAGCTCACTACACTGGGTAGCCTAAGAAGTGATTCCTCCTCCTTGCCCCAGAGGGTTAAAGCACCAAGAAAAGACTCTGACCTTCATTCCAGAAAGAGGTTTCTCTGAGCAACATGGCTTTCTCTGGCAGTACCATGCTTAGTACCCAGGCAATAATATTTAATTTCATGTCCATGTCAGTCCAAACCTACACCTTTACATCTGTTTTTAATCTAACCTGCAGTTGAAATGAATTTTCTAGCCCCCTCCTTCTCACTAATAAGAATCTGTCAAGTCCTTTAGGGGGATTATTTTATAAAAAAACAGAGGCTGAGAACCATTGTTATTAAGTGAGAACAGAAATGATCATTAACAACAGCACCAGACAGCAAGAAAACCCTAATATGCTCTCCAGAGTTCCAGAGGAACGATGTCATGTTATTTTTTTTTAACTAAGATTGTTCTGAGTTTGCAATTACTCTTGCAAACTATGTGAAGAGCAATTTGTGACCAGGGAGAATCTTGAGTCCCAGTGGAATTGGGTGGAATTTTCATTGTACCAAGACTACAGGGGAGCTAAAGAGCTGCAAGTGAAGGGAACTCAAAGGACATTGAAACAAAGTCAGGCAGAACAAAGGTGAATACTCAGTTCATGCATTAGCTACCTTCACCTCTGCACTCCATCCAAATGGATGCACAAAATAGCAAACCGATTACTTCCAAAACACTGGTGTTGATGACCCCTGGACAGCCAGAATGTAGTTTAAGTTTCTAACTCTGACTCTCTAAACAGGACTGGCTACTGCAACGTTTCTATTTCTATAGACTCTGCCATCAACTGATTCACAGACTTCCCCAGGCGATGACTCCAATGCCATTTCCTCCTCCCTCCAGGCTCGCACCCCTTGCCCCTGGACAGGACAAGCAGTGTGATCCTTACAAAATGCAAATGTGACCTTGTTACTTGATTGTTTAAATCCTACATTACTGGCTTCCCACTTCATTCCAAAACTACCCTGATAACAGTTTGACACCCTGAATGATTTTCTCCTGGACACAGCTCCAGCCTTATTTATTTATGCATAAGGGGGTCATAATCCCCACCAACCCCGGATACCAGCTCCAGAGACTTTCCAGTTCTGGACCACACTTAACTCCCCACCTGCCACAGGGATGCCTTGCATGCTATGCCTTTGACTGGGGATGCTCTTTGCACCTAATCAACTCCGACGCATTGCTGCATTCTGATGGAACCCCCACCCCGAGCGCATGGCTTTAAGAGCCCATTATCCTTTCTTCATAGCCCATATCCCAGCTGTCACTTTGCATCCAACTAAAAATCATCTGACGAAAATTTGCCTGTCTCATCAGCACCTTAGTTAGCTCCATGAGGGCAAGAAATGTATGGGTTTTGCTCACTATTTTAACTCCCATCACAACACCATGGATATGGAAGACATTCAATAAATATTTACTTAAGGAAGAAAAGATGGAAGGCAGGGAGACAGGGAGGAAGGAAAGAAGGATGGAACTCTCACCTTAGTCAGCCTATGGCTAATTTTAGACACACACGAGGTGACTACTCAGCCTCCCCAAAAGTCATTTCCCTCCAGAAACCCATCTCTGTCAAGCACAGTGCCAGAAACTGGGTCTCAAGTGCATGATCCTGGCTCCATTAGTAAGTGCTATGTTGAGCAGGGATGAAACCTCACCCTATCTAGGTTCAATTTTCTGCTAGGAATTTGCAAGGGACACTTAAGTTTTGACAGTAACTGTGCGGTCACTTCTCTGTCACATGTGCAGAAAACAGCAGAAGTAGCAATAAACAGAGGGAAGAAGAGAGCGGAAGTGCCACGGAGGAGGATTTTGGGGTGGGAGCAAGGGCTGCCTTGTTTCCCGATTACACAGCAGTACAAAAATGCTGGTCCCTCCTGGGACTGAGCACACTTCCTGATTTTTAGTGCTGAAACTCACTTCTGTGTTCCTGTGCTGTGTAAGAAAATACGCCCATTTCTTGAGTGAGTTTGAGTGGGTTTCTGTTGCTTGCAAACAATGGAATTATGTATAAGATCATCTCAGAGGGCGGTGCCTCACCTAGCTGGTATGTTGTACCTGCCCTGCATTCAGGGAAGTAAACTGTATCTTGATCACAT